TTTTTTTTTTTTAAATGGGCTCAGCCTTGCACCCGGACCCACACCTAGTAAACTCCCCATCTGGCCTCCACCCAGGATGAAATCATTCTGCTGCTGGGGAAAGAAATCAGCCGTCTCTCGGATTTTGAACTTGAATCCAAATACAAAGACGTCGTGATAGCGAACCTGCAGAACCAAGTGGCCAACCTGAGTCGGAGGCTGTCGGAGAAAACCTCCTCCAGGCAGAAGGAGAGGGGCACCTCACAGAACTTCCAGGTTTTGGATGAAGACATCGATGCGAAACAGAGAGAGATCGAGAGCTTGAAAAGCCAGGTAGGACTCAGTGACAAGTTGGTGAAGGCCTTAGAGTCGGGACACAGGGCGACAGCTCCTGGGTAGAGCCGGGGAGCACGAGGGGAGCCACGCGGATAGACACGAAAGGGGTGGTCCCCGTAGCGTGGTGGCTATGAGCACAAATCCCAGGAATCGGGGGCCCGGCGCACATAGCCCAGTAGAACCGTGCTAACTTTGTTAAGCGCCTGTAGCGTGCAGGCACCCGGCACAAGTGCCGTAGGTCCGTTGGCTTATTTAAATCGCACCGTCTCTGACATGTACCATTCTACAGAGGAGGAGACTGAGGCCGGCTCAGAGACCACGGGGAGCTTGTTCCGTTTGCCCAGTAAGTTAGGAGCAGCGGGTGTGTGCCGAATGCAGGTCCGCCCCTTCGGAGACCTCACGCTTTCACTGAGCTTCCTGTTTCTACCCAGATCTTTTGCTTCAGTGACTGGCCCTCACATCCACCCAGCCCCAGCCAGAAAGAGCTGTGGGCAGTCAGCTAGAGAGGAGGAGGAGGAGGAGGAGGAGGAGGAGGAGGAGGAATCCCCAGCCTTCCAAACACCGAAGTCTTCGCCCAACCCCGAAGGCACTTGCTGGCTCACTTGCAGGCAATGCCATCAGACAAAAATTCTCCACCCGGAATTTCGCACTGTCCAGGATAGTCACATTCTTTTCTCTTGAGACAAGCTAGATTCCCCCCGCACCCCCCCCCCCAGATTTCTTCAAGTACTTTAAAATTGGCCATTGACCTGGTACATAAATTATGTGTCAACAAAGTTGGTTTAAATTAAAAAAAAATTGGCCACTGATGAATTGTGGTCTCAGTGCCTAATGTTGCCTAGAACTAGTCATGCCTGGGGCCTCTTTTCTCTGCTTGCCTGTTCACGGCCTTTCCCTCTGTGACCAATTCAAGGTGCGTGGCCTCGATCCTAGAAACGGTGCCCTAGAAAAGGACTGAGGTCGTGCGTGGTGAACCTAGGAGATCCTACCAGGAGACTATAAGCTCCGTGAGGGCAGAGAGTGGACCCAGTTACCTTCTAAGGCTCTGTTAGGACCCCGTCTGTTCATTCATTCACTCATTCCATCAATCATCCACCCGTCCATTCAGTCACATAAGATTTGTTGGGTGACTGCCGTGTGCCCTGCCCTCTTCTGGGCTCTGGGAATTTGGCAGAGAACGAGGCAGGTATGACCTTTGCCTTCCCTTGGTTGTGTTCCCAAGAGGGATCCTAAATAAATACATACATACATAAATACATAAATAAATAAATCTATTTAAATTTATTTAAGTGAACAAATGACTCCTCAGACGTGTTTTAGGAAAACCAACAAAAGCAGCAGATTCTATAGGATTTCCTACTTGACGGCCACCTTCACGGGTAGCCGACTCCTGAATGAGCATCTTTTCTTTGCTTAATCTAAACCCAATTTTGCTGTCGGACAGAGTAATTTCCCTTTCAGTTATTCTCCCATTTCAGAGATTTCCTGAGTGCAGGTGGCATGTCTTGCCCAGATCCGTGGACAAGGGGTGAATTAATTCCCATACAATTTTTTCTTTTTTAGTCAAATATATTTGACAGATAACATCACGTAATCCTCTCCTATCTCTGAGTGTGTTCAAAGTGGCTAGTGAGATCTGGAAACAAGTTTCTCACGAAGAAAGCGTCCAGAAAGAATTACACCAACCCATCGTTCTGTTGCCTCCCCGCCCCCCACCCCTTGATCTTTACTGGTAACCGAAAGAGAATATTTTGTAACAAGGCGTATCTGAACTGGAGCCTTCGGTGGGTTTGAACCCGAATCAAGTTCTGTCGGTTCACGTTGTAGTTTCTTAAATGTTCTACCACCTGCAGAACATTCAGCCAGAAGTAGAAGCTGCATGGGCAGGTCGGTTTATTGTTCGGATTTCTAGGTGCTCCCTGGTCCCCCCAAAAGTGGGTGCATCATGACCTGCTCTGAAAGGTCTCCCATCCACTGCTGTATCACTAGAAAGTACTTGCCTCTGCGTGCCCTTGAACGCCTGTGCTCATTAGCAGGCAAATTACTCTCTCGAAGCTATCCTCCTAACACTATTAGCTTTCTTATGACTCACTGCCCATCTTATTACACAGGAGAGCAGACATGAAACTTCTTGGGCTGTGTGCCCGTTACAGACAATATGGGTACTCATTTCGGTAGGGAAAGAAACAAAGACGTTTGGAGCCTGGAGTTTTCTCGAAATCTGAACTCCTAAAAACTCTGATGCGTAGTTTGAATTCCATTATATCTGTCGGAAGCAGAAGCACTGGCATCTTTGGGCAGGAGGGCATGTGGTTTCCCCATCCCTTCTGGAAGTTTGTCTCTTTGTGCTGTGCCTCTGGTGTCACGCAAATAAGAGCATGGAAAAACACTCTTAAAAATTATTCCAGGGGCGCCTAGGTGGCGCAGCCGGTTAAGCATCCGACTTCAGCCAGGTCACAATCTCGCGGTCCGTGAGTTCGAGCCCCGCGTCGGGCTCTGGGCTGATGGCTCAGAGCCTGGAGCCTGCTTCCGATTCTGTGTCTCCCTCTCTCTCTGCCCCTCCCCCGTTCATGCTCTGTCTCTCTCTGTCCCAAAAATAAATAAACGGTAAAACAAAAAAATTAAAAAAAAATTATTCCAAGTACCTTTTATGGGAAAGTTACACCGCCCCCCCCCCCCC